CTACTAAAAGAACAAAAATAGGTATAACAATCATTTTCTAACTTCTGTTGTTTTTTGTTTAATTCTTTGCTCAAGTCCCGAATAATATATTGTTAATTTCATGATTGTAGTCAAATTGTGACTGACAAATTTTCTATACTTGTATGTTTTTGTTGGAACATTTTTTAATTAACCTTAAACCTTGTATTAAAATTTAAAGTTCTCTTATTGTAACAAATATTTTCTTGACATAAATTGAAAAATAAATAAAAAGTAGAACATTCAAATGTCTCTGAGTAAGCTCCATAAGCGAAAATACTACCCATAGGTAGTTAGATTAACATTATTGTTATTAGATATTTTTCTTTATTGTTTCTAAATAGATAATTATTTTTACCATTTATATCTAATAATGATTAATGAAAAAAAAAAAAATGAATAAACTAATATTGGATGTACATAAGAATGTGATTTCCTGTGTACCGTAGAATAATACTCAAATATTATGTTTTGTGCTGTTCAGTGTTCGGTATTGAAATATTTGAAATGGCTATCACATGCATATAGCAGCCATAATACCCTCAATAATTAACAGGAAGTACTGGAGCAGTAATGTTTATTCGATTAACAACAATGGCCAATGGGTTAGAACTACCGATATGAAAATAATAATAGCAGTTTATAAATTATATTGTGTATATAGCACGAACATTTTAAATGTTGGTAATACAATATTAGTCTTTAAAGTTTAAACAGAGTCCTCCTCATAGACGTAGAGTGATGAATTTATACGGTGGTGGGAGCCGGGAGGGGGGCTAAACATAATTAAGTGGGTGGCCCTCCATCATCCGCCGGTGGTCCTCTTGAATCGCATTGACGATTTGTTTAAAAGATATTTTATTAAAAATATTTAAAATTTTATAATTTTTTATTTAAAATTAAAATTAAAATACATACTTATTAGTTATAATGTACGAGCATTATACATTAGTTAGAAGCACATGTTGGTTCTAATGTTACAATTTGCTTTTCACTCGTGATCGTTATTTTTTTTCCTTGAAATGTTCGTGCATTATTACATTAATTGGTCAGATATTTTTCTATTTAATTATCATGAGCAGAGGCGCCGATGTCTTTTGAAACGCCTATGATATATTTTTTTTTAAAGCTTAAACACGTAAAGGGTTTTTTATTTTACATTTACAAGTACTAATAAAAAATTCTCCAACCATTAATTTAATTACCTATGCCATTTGTCATAGGCAAAACCAACTTTCGGCGCCTCTAATGATTCATTAGAATAATTTTATGTGCGAAAACGTGACTATAGTCTATAAAGTATACAATATTTTATAGTATACATTCAACTATTCAAGTACCTAGCTGATATACACATTCATAGAATTTAACTAGTGTTTATAATTGTTATTTATTTTCAGTGAGACTATTGTCTAGATAAAAAAAAATACAGTTATGTATTATATGTATATAGATAACTTATTGTATTTTTATAATTATTTTTAATTATTCTCTTCTTTTTATATTTACAATATTTCTATATTATTTTCTATTAAATATTATCTACAAGTCTTTGGCGAAAACTTCATTAATCTACTGCAATTTATTTAGATATTTTGTTAATGTTTATTTAATTAATATATACATAATATTATACATGCCTTCTAGGCTTGTACTTACTCTATTGTTTTTTGTTCACGATCAGTGAACATCAGTGGAAGTGTAGGTCATTTATTAATAGTACTATACTACTATTTATAATTACTCATTAATGTAATTTTACTTTTAAATTTTAATATATGATTAAATTCAAAGTAATCAAAAAATCTAAAATATTATCTCCGGCTTAAATAATATCTAGCCCATAATTTGTTTTTTCCGATCGATCGGCTGCGGCCGCGGCAGCTACCCCGGAATCACGGTGTTTATTATTGTTATATTTAAATATAATATTTTTATTGTAAATACAGTGGACTCCTGATGACTGATGAGTATGCCGTTTTAATTCTTATATGAAATATAATATAATAATATAATTATCTGCCATGGACATAACATTTACATACGAAAACATAAATGGGAGTATAGCCGTATAGGACGTGTCCGTTTTGAGCACTGTTCGCACCTTTTATTTTTATCTAGATACCTATTATTTTATTCATCTATTTCTAACACTGTTTATTTTTAGAAAAACGTATACATTTTATGGAATATAAAATATATCTTATACATACGATTACTATGTATATATATATATATAGATATATATATAGATCAGTAGATAAGTAGATTGAATAAAATCAAAATTTTCATCACAAAAAATCAGTCTAAATAATTTAGTTGATACTTGATACTAATAATTGATAACTAATTTAGAAATTTGTTACTTGGACTAAATGTACATAGCATCTGTTTTAAGAATTAAATTATTTTATTCGTCCTGCATTGTAGGCAATTTCAAACATTATCTTTATTACCTATTTTATTAATATGTCGTGGTTGTTAGGTGGAATAATAACATAATATTTGGAAAAGTTTAGAAATCTATTTAGAAATTCAAAAAAAAAAAAATTGGAGTACCTCTATACAGTAAATTTTAAATTAATTTAAAGTGTTTAAATATGATGTATAATTATAATACTTTATGTCTATCTATACCTGAGTCAAGAATTCAAGATACCTAATGTATTTATTTATTCTGGGACGAAAATCGGATACCCCTTAATACCCCCAGATACCCGGGATGGAATTTGTAGCTTGTAGCTGGTAAACAATTTATCGTAATTTATATGTTTAGGATTCGTAACGCATTCAAATTACCGTTTTTGAACCTTGAGGTATATTTAATGCGGGCGCCTATTTGGTCGCAAGTAATATGCACAGGATTTTGGTACAGTATTTTTTACTATTAGTTATTGCCAGTGAGTAATACATTAATGCTGGGTATTGCTTAAGTGCAGGCCCTATTATTTGTAAAATTTCGTACTGCACGCTTCATTTTATTCTCGCTACCATCTTAGAAAAAGGAATATATATATTATATATTATATGTATATAATAATTTAACAATGCAATTTAATAAAGCAACAAAATACTTATCTTTTAATAAAAATCATAAAAATTAAATAGCATACAATAATAAAAACCTTCACTTAACTTTTTAATAATTAAAATCATAACAATGCATATTACTTTCTTGATTTTTAATCAAGTAAGTATGGTAATGGAAATGAAAAAAGTCTGAATTTTTAAAACTTCAAGAATTTGTGTTAAATAGGAAAATAGTAAAAATGTATCTCAGTAATGATGAGTAGGTGGGTAATTTAGCTAGCTTTAATATAAAATATTCATAAGAGATATTTGATATCAGACCCAAGTGGTATAACCACTTGAATCCACTAAAACGTTGGCTTGAGCAGTCCCAAAATTTCTATTTTTTAACTTTTCTCCTAAACTATGATACCTAGCTAGAAAGTTGGTTGATAACTCATTAAAAAGGAATGATCAAGTAGACACTAAATGTGGGATTACATTTTTTTTTTAATTATTTAATTTTTCACAGATAAAAAAAAAGAGTTATTTTCTCTAGATTTTCATTTAGCAAGGTAGATCTCCGAAATTGGACAACGGATTTTATTGTTTGGGGTCTTGTTAGATTCACATTGACTAGGAAATACTCATATTTCCTAGTAGCTGGTATATTATTTAATTTTTCTTTCACACGATCAAATCGTAGTGCACACTTGTACATTCGTAGTGCACATTGTGTGTCGTGGTGCACATAATAATAGGGCCTGCTTAAGTGTATAATACTAGAGTAATAGTTAGATCAGGGATTTTGATGCTATAAAAATGGTATACGGAAAAAATACCAAAATAAAAAAACAAAAAAAACAAAATGATAATATAATCAAAATTGTTGCGATTTATCTTTTTTATTATTCTATTACTGTTGCTTAATAATAATAATATTTATATTTTTATTATTAAATAATATAAAAAATAATATATATATAATTTTAGTATAGTAAATAGTAACAAAGCAGGGCACTAACTAATTAGAAAGTTAAAGTTAAGTTACAAAGTTATTAATCACCTACTTAATAATTAATTAATATAATGCATTACATTTAAAAAAATGGTTTTTCAAATTTATATTTTAAACTAAAAAAAAATTAATATCTAACTTCTACTGTAACTCAAGTCACTATTTTCACCAAACTAACTTCAATTTAACTAAGTTAGAAATTTGGTAAATTTCAGAAGCTAACTTATATTCTAATTTAGTTAATTTTTATATTAAAGTAACTTAACTTTAACTAGTTGAAAAAAGTGACTAACTTTCCCAGCTTTAAAATTGGATAAAATAAATATATAATTAATTGAATAATATTTGAATAATTGAATGTATAGTTAATTTATATATAATTTTTATAATATTGATAACACAGCATAGAGATTGTATAATATTATATTTTGTGTTAATGCTAATTCTCTGATTAGATTATCATTTGGGTTTTTTTTTCGGGACTCTATAAAAATATCATATTATATGCACTAGGAAAATATATTACTCAGAAACTAAAAAAACACGTAAATACATTTTGTACTACAATAGTTTATGTTCGTTTCAAAAATAATTTCTAAAAATTGTCCTCAAGACTCAAAAAATGTCCCAAAAATTTGAATTCATCAAACAATATGCAATACAAAAACGATATAATGGATATAATTTGCTTTGTTAGGATCTCCCAAAATACATTATTTCCACATTGCATAGAAATCTCAGCCCCGATATATGATAATGATTTTTTTTTTCAGACACCGATCGGGTTCCGCGTCCTGTACCATACGAGCAAAACCGTGGTGCTGTATATGAGCTGGCCGGCGAGTGCTCGCTGAGAACGGGCGAAAAAGTTGTCCGCTGCCCACGACATTTGCAGTGCTCAGTGTAGGGAGTACGACCGAATCTCACCAAGGCTGATCCTGTACGGAAATGCTAAATGCCACCGAACCATTTGCCAGTCGTGTCGGTTGCCGTCTTTGCGTTCGCTGTGGCCGCGTCGTTGCTGTCATCGGCGCCGAGTGCGGCACGGGCAGGTTTCGCTTGCCTGAGCAGCCCTTGTGCGCACGGCGTGTGCGTTGACCAGCTCAACAGGCAAGTATTGCTTATTTATAGTATTAGTATTACTGCAAGGCTGGGAAAGTTAATGATTTTTTTTAACTCAGTTAAGTTAATATGCACCAATAATAACAAAAAGTTTAAAGTTTAAAGTTAATTTAACTACATGTTAAAAATGTATATCATTTGAATCTAACTTATATGGAAATACTGTAAAAGTATAAGCACTATAGTCTATAATATTTAGTATTGGGTTGGAAAAAAATTAAGTTCGCTAACGTTGTATAAACAAATTAACTTTTTTTTAACTTAATAAAAAGTTAACAAAATGTGTGTATTAACATTTAGCTTAACTGAGTTAACTTTAAACAATTCACTGTAAATATTTTTTGACATGAAAACAAAATAGACTGAAATAGTGAAATATAATTAAATTAACTTAACTTACTTCTTAAAATGAAAAATTAATTAGTTCATTTCATGTTAATTAAAAAATAAATTTAGTAAGTTAACAGTTGAGTTAATGAAATGCCAAAAGTAACTAGTTAAGTTAAAAAGTTAAAATAAAATCATTTTTTTAACTCGTTAATGGCCAGCCTTGAATATTAGTACCTGGTATATAATAAGTAATAATATATATCGACCGCGAACTTGTAGTTAGTACTCGTGTTTACTTGTTCACTCTTACGCGGAATATTGTTGTACATACCTAATGTAACTTGCACATGTTTTATAATCAATGTAGACATTTAGAGAAATGAATTTATAGCAAAGAGAGATAAAGAGAGAGAGTGAGAGAGAAAACCCATTTTGTGCTCCTGCACAAAAAATGTTGGTATTTACCACTTACAACTTACTAACCGTTTTATGTAACCACTTTTGTACTAACCAATAATTTATGATTATTTATACAATATATATTTATATTTATTGACTTATTTAACACAATAATACAATTACAGTGTAATGAGGTAAGTACTCTAAACAGCAAGTAGTCTTCTTCAGTTTTGTTTTTTTTATACGACTATTTTGAAAAGTACTGGAAAATTTTAACTCTTGACCCCACATATAAGATCCAATTTCCTATCTTGAAATGGGATAATTTTGATAATTTTTTATTGTTTTACTTTTTATTTTATGGATAACTTCTGTAGTATCAATGATACAACTCTCAAAATTAAATATTAGTTACAGCTAGTTATGATCAATATTTTAGCGTTTTAATTTTTAAATTTCTGATAGTATCTTTTGAGATATCAATCTTTTTAATATGCAATCAAAGTTCCACAACATTGCGGGAAACTTTGATACCTATATTTCTTAATGTGATATCAAAGTAACGCCATTTTATGAATTTTATTAAATCATCATGGTACTCTGGTGAATAAAAATACATGGGTATCAAAGTTACCCCGCGAAATCAAAGTTAATTTCAGGCGTTAATATTGAAAATCTAAGCACTTTTTGTGCTATTAAAAGAGTCTTAAGACGTTTTAAATAAATCACCCTTTTCAACTCTCACGCATTGAGAGTGATGAATACTGAGCATTAAAACAACACAATATATTAATGACTCTTAAGTCTTAACGACTGTTATAAACAATTAACAATTGGAAAATAATAGTCCGGTGTTTCAAAATAAAAGAGAAATGTGTCTTAAAAATTAATATCCTGAATCAAACCTATTATATTTCTTTTAGGGACCTACTTAATTAATTTCTAATAATCTAGGAACGGTCTCCGTTTTCGATCAAAATGCTTAAGGTTAAGAGGATGGCACACCCGCATGTGTTGTGTCCGTCTTACAAATGTACAACATAGCAAAAACTGTTTTGCACTGGATAACTTTACTGTTCTAGCACCATATTTGTTGTAGAACTACCAAATGTTCACAACACGTAAAGAAGAACTTTATCTGTGCAACAGGGTGCTTTTATTTTTAATAACACCATCCAATCATTTTTTATAAGCAAATGAAAAACCAAAATGTTTAGAAGCAAATAACATTTATTGTATTTACGTTATCTAAAATATGGGCACACTGTTGAACAGATAAAGTTCTTCTTTACGTGTTGTGAAAATATGGTAGTTCTATAACAAATAATATGGTGAGAAAACAGTTGTCCCGTGCAAAACCGTTTTTATTATTTTTATATTGTAAGACGGAGACCGGGAGACGGGAGACAACACATGCGGGTGTGGCGTCCTCTTGGCATATTATTGATAATTTAATCTTAACGATCACTATTAACACCTAACGACCAGTAGTTTATTCTCACAAAAAGTCTTTTGTGACTAATAAGTATTATTCCAGAATAAAAAAAAAACAGGAAGTTGCTTTTCTTTATAGTAGGTATACTATAGGTATCCGGTGTACATTGCCGAGTAGGTAACTGTAACTGATGTATTAAATTTGAATACAATGATTTAGCCATATAGGTAACCGTCTCCACTCAGACTATATTTCTAAGAATATTTTAGTACATTAAATTGATATTATTCCTAACAGTAATTTATTTTTCTATTGATTATACAGTAATACGGAAGATTGAAATAATTTTTGAACAAATATCAAATTCTCTAAAAATATAACTGTTAAATAACTAGAAAAAAAAATTCTACTTATTTATTTTTGATATATTTAAATTGCTAATAATCACACTTTGAGGAATATTGATTTAATTTTTCGAACTTATCGATCAATCATAATATTTTTTTAAACACTTGTGAAATAAATAAAAAAGTAAAATAAACTGCTCTGCTTAGTTTAGTACGAGTTGAGTTTACTCGGCATTGAGTAACTAGTCACTGTAATGGATGTGTTAAATCGGAATTCAATGATAAATCATAGGCATATAAAAAAAGTGTGTGTGTTATCAGTACGCGCGCGGGAAGTTAAACTTCTTTTGAATGGTACACGTGAGTGAGTGAAAAAGAAAGAAAGGCATGGATAGACTGGGTAATGAGGATAATAAAGAAATAAAAGAAACAATGTAAATTATATTTTTTATATTTTTTTTTTTTAATTATTATTTTTTATGCTAATGATTGATTATCATTTTGCTCAATCGGTATAGTAGTTATGATTGGCATATGATGACTGAAATACGAAACGTACATTTGTGACTGAACATTATCCATATATCGCGTAAAAATTGCATCGATTGTTGTGCCTGATTTAGTAGTCGATATTGTTGGATCATTATTCAGTTGCAATAATATATAATAAAAAATCCATGTGTGTTACCAGTACGCGCGCGGGAAGTTAAACTTCTTTTGAATGGTACACGTGAGTGAGTGAAAAAGAAAGAAAAAAAATATTAATTAATTTAAAAAATGAGAAGAAGTATCCGGAATTATTTATTATTGATAGTTTTATTATTTGTTTTATATTTTTATTCGACAGATCGATGGATAATTGTTTGTAGTATTGTTTTTATCCAGACAATAGATTTGTGAGTGAATACTAATACTAATAATAAAAATAAATAATAATCGATCATTAATTATTCATATTAATTAGTATGGCCCGATTATAATATATAATACTAGCTGATCCCGTGCACTTCGTCGCCCTTTAAATGTATCAACTCAATATGAGTTATGACTCAAACTTTGATCAATTCGTTATTCAATATTCAGTGTATGGTGTTCAACATTTATCTTATCTTTTCCGTTGCCCGGAATAAAAATTCTGAATCGCAGCAGTACATTATCAGGTAGGCAATCTACCTGCGGTAGATCGCGGACCCCGTGCTGTTTGTACGGAAGTGTATGATTTAACTCTAAATTATCAAAGTTATACCAAGTTTATTTTGATATAATACGGTGGATTAATATAACAAATTTGGTTGCTCGTAAGAAATCACAACTCTTAAAAAAATTATGATTGTTGAACTCCTTTTGGGTGTAACTTGCTGGGTAAGTGCAACTCAGCCACCCTGGTAGGCAATGTTCAATAATTTTATTTGATGCAAGCTTGTACCTGATCTGCCCGAATAACCAATGGCAACCAATAAATAAATGCTAATTTCTAATGTAGACTGTAACCAATGGCAACTATTAGTAAATGAAAATAAAATTTCCAATTTCCATCTTGAATCTCAATGTCCCTGTTTGAGCACCTATTTATTTCGAAAAATCCTTTCTTAGCGCACGTCTACATCATAATAGCTAACTGTATGCCAAATTTCAGCCAGATCCGTCCAATGGTTTGAATCAATGCAGTCAATCAGCTTACTGTTTTATATATACAGATATATATATATATATATATTATAATATATAATAAAACAACATTACCATGACAATATTTATTTATTTATTTATTTATTTATTTACGGACATGTACGCTTTCGCGTTCGTACGGCCGCCCGTTCGTACGCGCCGCCCGTTCGCTTTTTTTTCCTCACTACCGTGCGTAAAGAAGTATAACTTCAATAATATATAAATTATAATATATAATATAACAACACTACCATGACAATATTTATTTATTTACGGACATGTACGCTTTCGCGTTCGTACGGCCGCCCGTTCGTACACGCCGCCCGTTCGCTTTTTTTTTCCTCACTACCCTGCGTAAAGAAGTATAACTTCAAAAAACCAACCTAAGATTATATAATTTATATTACTATCGATATTTTATTTTACATTCATATTGCTAATTGCTCCATTAATTTGTTTTTCGACAATGGCTCGTCGTTCAAAAAAAAAACAAAGTTTAAAATTAATTTAAATACTTTGAAATTTTTATTGCTTATACTAAATAAAAATAAATGTAATGGGAAAAACTTTCAGGGTTAATATTTTTTGAACTACACCAAAATAACTAAAATCATTATTTTCTAAGCATCCATTTTCTTTGAAATTATTTTAACTAGAAATGTCCAAACAAATTGTGCCTAAGAATTTTTAGATTTGTGTAAGTACAAAATTAGGAATCTTGTATCAAATTTTCAAGCATTAGGTATTAAAATTGAAAATTGTATTAATTTTTTAACTACATCTTAATAAAACATCTTATGCAATTTTCACTACAAAATAATGAAAATATCTTGTGATTTTGACAAATGTTGTAAACTTTTTAACTTTAAAAAAAATAATTTGTACTACCTATATATTTATGATATTTTTTAACTGTCGTAAGAAAAACTTATTTTAAACCTTATATATATATTAAGTTTGTCAAGTTTTTTTTATTTTCATACAAAAATGTTATTTTATATGAATGGAAAATAAACTAAAAAAAGATGGGGAAATGGATACCGATCTGCTGTATACTAAGTGTCGATATACTGGCGGGTCACTGTAATGGGTGGGTTAAATTTGAATTTGAAAAATAATATATCAATGTACCTATAATACGAAAGGCGATTCTAAGCAGAAACAGTCTGTAAGCCTATATCAAGTATACTTGTATATATATTTCATGTTTTCATGGTATGTTTTTTATTGCTTTTAAAATAATTAATTTTACTATTGATACTACGGCAGGCTGATTTAATTTTTGACAGAAATATTGCACATTTTATTATAAAATAATATTTAATTTACCTACAGTGTAGGTATATTACATCATATTGTCATTATTTTTTGAGTCAATAACACCTTACCGCAGAACAGTGTGAATACAAATGGTGTATTGTACCTTTATAATGGTATATTATAATGGTATATATTGATATATGGTAAAGTGTTCACTGCTCGTGTTATAAAATATAAATAGGTAATAGCTTAAAATTAATCTACATATTTTGAAAATGTAACTGCGTGTAGTTAAATTTATAATTTAAGTACGTAAAAGTTTTAACTTTTAAGTCCCGCGAATAATGTTTTTGAATTACAACAAAATAACTAACATAATTATGCTTCGTTTGGAGATGTAATTTCATCCAAACTTAAACTTCAAATGTTTATGAACAAAATTGTGCATTTATATTTTTTTTTTAATATTTTATTTTAGATAAATTGCTTATGAGGAACCTTTTATTAAATTTCCAAGTCTTAGCTGTAAACATTGAACATGTTTATTTACATTTTTAACTAAAAATAATTTGCAAGTTTTCGTGATTTTGACAAATAATTTATTGTTGTCATATGTTTGAATTTTAAACACACTTATCTTTAGTGTACTAGTAATACAGTTGTTGTTTTGTGAAAATACTAAAATATCACAGAAAGTTGATTTTTCTGGTAACTATTTCTCCATAATTACGTAATTGTGTACTCTTCTGAAAATATCAAATCTATCGTGATGTTCTTGACTTTCATAAAAAATACGACAACAATAAATGTACTCTCGCGGTGTATCAAAGTAGACGTAATAAATAATAAATGGGGGACGGAGTGGGCTGAGCGGACTAAGGCGTCTGTTGCGACGCGCACCGTCGCCGGTTCGAACTCTACCACAGGTGGCATTTTTTTTTTTCGGGCAGTCACGGTGTCCGGAGAGAGAGGCCGGCATCCCCCACCCGCGTATGCCAGATACCTACGTGTGCAAACTTAAAAATTCTGCCAAAACCAACACACACGTGTTCAAAACTTACAGTACCCTCCCCACAGTTCCACAGGATAATGACCTCAGTTGTCGAAGCCTCAACTCCCCCCAAAAAATATAAATATTAAATATAAATTTAAAATTTTGAAATGTTCACTAACGTGCTAGTTAAGACTGAAGTGACATTTTTTTTTTTTTTGGAACTATGTTCACATAATATGACGTATTTTAATAATATTACGCTAACACGGAGTACCTATTTATCAAATAACTGAACAACGCGACATTTTAAATTTTAATGTCGTATGTTATTATGATTTTTACAGCACTTACACTTGTTATTGCATTGATGGCTATACGGGTATCCGGTGTCAGACAAACTGGGACGAATGCTGGTCTTCACCTTGTCTCAATGGAGGACTGTGTATCGATGGTATAGCTGATTACAACTGTTCGTGTCCCGAAGGCTATGCAGGTAAATAATAATATTCATAATATTGTGCACAACATAGTGCATAATATAGTGTGTGATACTATGGTGCAGGGGCGTCATTTCAACTTTTTTTTGTTGGTGCGAAAATGTTTGCAGGCCATTCAAATTGTTACCAGGCCACATAGAAAACTTTTTTTTCTTTAGTGGGGGGGTCTAGTGGGGACAAAAACTGTAGAATATTTGTAAAATGTATTTAATACGTCACTTATATTAGTATGAAAACTTCACAATATTATTACTATTTTTGAAGAACTATGTGTAGGTACTTTTAATAAGTTTATATTATATTATGGATGTCAGTTGTATTTGGTAAGCAAATTTATGGATATAAAGCACCTTAATAGTACTTAATCGAACCTAACCTATACATTTTTTCTCCCTGCACACTCAAAATAAATAATATAGCTAAACGCCTAAACCTGAAATTTGTATTATGGGTTACCTTGTTCAAAATGGCACAATATACTTAATTCATATTTCTAAATTTTTCCACATCAATTTTAATTTAACTTTAAATTAATAAATTTAACTAAATTTTAATTTAATTTATTATTATTATATAATATATATTATTAAGTATTTCACTTCTTTCTCGATCACGACTAGAACAATCGTACTCTCGACGTACTAACTAAAATTGGTGGTAGAATTTCTACCATAGAAAGTAAGTGACAAGGTTAAAAATGTAAGCAAATAATATTCTGTGGTTGCTATTTTTAGACAATTTTTTCCCTATTAATGGGAATTATATATCATGTTGTTTTCTTATTATAACGAGTAGGGAGATACCAAAGCGTGATAAGAAATCTATACCAGCATAATATTATACCCACAGATTTATTATATATTCGATGGCATTAATATCATGGTAGAGAATAAAAAAATATATATAACCCATAGACATAATTATATTATTATTATTTTATATTATGTCAATGATATAACCACACAACCACATCGATCATTTTTGGAAATAAAACCCATTAGTACCTATAATATTTATTATTTTTTTTTAAATACTGAAAAAATATAAAATATATATAATATATTAATATCGGCGCTTATATTTATTGTTGGCAGGCCAAAGAAGGCGTTTATAAAAAATGTTGGTGCAAATGTACACCCTGCACCCCCCCAAATGACGCCCCTGCTATGGTGTGGTGTGTTGCGTCGTTATTATAGTGTATACAATATACAGTAGCACCGAACTCATATATCATGTGAAGCAAATAAACAATCGCTTCACTTCTTAAATGGGGGATTCTTAAAAAGTCGTGATAGGTAGGTGGATGATGGGATAAACATTTCAGATTTCACTTCTCAAACAATTAGATTTGACGCCACTGATACAATATTCATTATAACATGGTTAAATTAATTTATACCATTGTCCACGACGTTGTACTATATAATACGCTACAGGTCAGCAGACAGTCCTGTGGGCCACTCGCTAATGCCGAAGAAAAATTGTTAAGTTTTTAATACTATTATAGGTATCTGTGTGACAGTGCATTATATTATTGCATATTTTGTGTTGTGCTCGAGCAGTGTCGTAACAGTATACTTAGCACCCACTGTACCCCTTTTTATCCGTTTGTACCGGCGACTGCAGGAGGAGGAACCGTATTTCTTCTCTCTCAGTATATAGACTATAATATATACTAGTACCTACCACCCTACACCTTTTTAACTTTTGAACATTATCTGTTTTTCTGTTGACGCATCAGGACACGACTGTGAACTCAACGTTAACGAATGCCTGTCAAATCCGTGCCAAAATAATGGAACTTGTATGGATTTCACCAATGGATTCACTTGCCAATGTCCTGCCGGTTACACTGGTCAGTTGAAGACATTTTAATTTATTATACTTATAGAATTTTATATGTATTCTTCTAGTATTTTTATAAAAATATATAGCATATATGCATATATGCTTCACAGCATTTGTTGGAAATTGAAAATCACATGTAAACAGCTATAGTTTACTCACCAATATTCCATATCTAAAGATTTTTATAATAATTGAGTTTTAGTATTTTTTATAGTATTCTCCAGGTATCCATTGTATATGGAGTGATTGAATAAATTCAAGGCTAAAAACGTGACCTAATTTTTTTTTACTAGTAGTAAATTTATTTTGAGCAGATTTAGTAATAATGCAAAAAATATTCCTACTACATATTTTATTTATTTAAATATTGATAAGGATGTTAGTATGCACACTTATTGTTTATACAATTATATACTTATAGTGAATAAAATATTTACCAGAGCTTATTGCAATTGACATTGTATTGAAATAATACGAATAAAGATTACAGAATATAGCGTAGAAACGTTTTGAATACAAATAAAATACAATTTATAGAATATAATTACTAACCAAATATTCAGAAAAACATTTCGGGGGGGGGGGGGGGGGTCATAAAAATGTCCAAATTAATTAAAAGGCATTTAACATTTTGTGAGAAGGGAGTTTGCCCCTCTGTATAAGTGCCTGATAGTCACGGAAAAATTAAATCACTTATGCACATAATATTATAACGACTATATATTATGTCAACCGACAGTTTAGTACCTACCACCACGGATAAGATTTTACGCTGTTTTGAGGTTTACCGCTGCGACAGGTTCATTATAAACGGAAATCTCAAATTTACCTATAACACGAACATACCTCGAATTACCCTTTATAATACTACACTATACAGCTTGTTATATAGATTTATATTTTAAATATTAATTCTAGCCTTTCGGGTAAACATTAAAAAAAACAACAATGCATGCCATTAGTTATGCACTATTGTATTATACATATATCAATATGGTACCGTAAATGCCGATCACTAGGTAAATATAGGTTTTAATAGGTAGTTATATGCTAGGACTTACTGTTTGTTCTCAGTAAAAGCTGAAAATCGTAATTGTATTCGGGCTTTTACACTAAACACTCTGTGTACATCCTAGGATGTACAAATTGAGTTAGTAAAAGGCAAAAGCTGATTCTAATATATGAGTATATGACAAATAAAAATTACAAAACAAATCATGGATACTTATTGATTGTTATAACTTATAACTTATAAGTTATATAGTTAAACGATGATATCTTGATTAGCTCGTTTAATCGACCCTTGAACTGTGTATTAATCAACTCTTACTAAGTAATAACAATTCTGTTTTGAATACATATATGTATATATATTTTTTAGGGAATTTTTGTGGTTTTTATGTCGTCAATATCCTAACTCTATTTATAACGTATTGATTATTATTACCTATTAAACTATTATAAGTCGGAAATCGACATTAATAATTTTAAACACTTTTAAAAGTATGGTACTAATGCACTATAGTATACCTAATGTAAGCATAAATAATACAAATAATGGATAGGTCATCAAACATTATCATACGTCCTACTTTCGAATGAATGATTCCAGTGCGTGATTTTTTCATTCTATAGTATAATATGTATGATAAGTGAAAATAACGCAATAATAGGTACTTATAGGTATCAGTGAGACAAAATATGTCTCCCCTCTTTCGGTTCACGCCCAAATTGTTTGCAGCCTATATCCATTCTTTATTATTTATATGGCTGTAAGTATCAAAAACGTTTTTTTCAATGTATACCTTATTATATTTATTTATACAATACATTGTAATGAACTTAGCATTATACACGAAACAGTAAATACGTAAAGTAAACGTGAGTTATATTTTCACATACACTAATTGTTTTATCTACAAATAAAATTACCTACCTATATCGAGATTGTCAATCATTTCCATTTTCAGGGACGAGTTGTGAAATCGACTTGGCTGTGTGCAATTCAACTGGAGAAATACTATGCAAAAACGGCGGCGAGTGCATCGAAGGCCCTGGTGTGTCATTTTCGTGTAACTGCTCACCAGGTATGTCTAATTGATGATGATAAATTGACAATTATTATACTGAATCAATATATAAGTTGTTACCGGGTTTTCATAATTATATCATAGTTTTTATAAGATACACATTTACATTTTTGTACTACACATCATAATATGTGTCGTACTGGATTAAAATAAAGGCTAACTACTGTCATATGGATATAAGTATCGTATAATATTACGTTTAAGGATGGAATGGGTGGACTTGCGAGGACGAAATCGATCAGTGTGACTCTCGTCCGTGCAAGAACGGCGGCGTGTGCATCAACAGGCAGACGGCGTATTCGTGTGCCTGTCTTTTTGGTAAGTACTTGTAGAGTTGTAGACTTAGTATGTATAATAATATTATGCTTATTATTTAAATTACTATTATTATTTAATATTCGTGATAATCTATGACCTATGTACTATTATATGCGTACAACGATACATTATTTTTATGCAGGTTATACAGGTCGCGACTGTGACGTGGCACTGCGTCTGTGCGAAGAACACGAGTGCCAAAATCATGCACTTTGCTTAATCGAGGACCAGACGTCGGTTTGTTACTGTGTCCCGGATTACCACGGGAAATTCTGTCAATATCAATACGACGAGTGCCAACTAGGAATAAGGTAAAAATAAATGTAAAAAAAGGTATTGTCCTGGTATACCCCCGCTTTGGATATAGTTTATAAGGACATTATTTTAGTTAGGTATACCGGATAGCATTAAGATACCTATACTACTACACTACTATAAAAAAAAGTAATCGATATTTGTCATTATCTATAAATTAGAAAAGTTTATTATAAAATATAGTGCAGAGAAGTATATTTACAAAAAATGTGGTCCTCCTGAAATTGGTTTTCAGTCACTGACTTTGCAAAATTACTTTCTATAGTGTATATGGAATATAGACTAACATTTATTATGACAAAAATATAGCTGTTTACATAAACCTTATACCTTATACTGATTATAGGATATATGTCTATGACTGGTTAGGTACTAAAAGGTAAACTAAATAGGTTAATTACAATATTTAAAAATAGCTAGTATGATGTATTGATGCTAGTTATAGTACCATGGTCCATGACTATATGGTAGTGCCAAAAGGGCTTAATTATTGGCTTGATTAAAGGTGTGACAACGGAGGGACATGTGTGGACGGCGTGGACGGTTACACGTGCACGTGTCCGAAAGGCCTGACCGGCCAGTCATGCGAGTGCGCGTTCCTGGACGACCACATGGCCAACTGCACCGGCATCGTGGTGCCGTATTACACGACCAGCGGTGCCGAAGAAACAACCGCCGCCGCAGCCGTGACAATCACCGCTCCTGTCACTCAGGTGGACGCCGAATATCCACTGTCGTTCGAGACCACGTTTGGAACAACGACGTCACCGTCAGACGGCACCGGTTACTTCAGTATATTCGTGGCCGCGACCACACCTGCGGCCGACCGACGGCCAGCGGTCACATCCACCGAACTGACACCCGAGCTGCAGCCGTATACCATCTACACGGACTCGGACGCGGGCGACGATGACGCGTACGACACAACAATGACACAGTTTGCCGACACGACCCGACCAGCAATCGGTCGGACGTCGTCGCCCGACGGTATCCCCGACCCGGACACTGTAACCGCTGACTATGACGGTGCGACCAACAGTTACGAATACGACGCACCCACAAACACGGCCAACCGGAGGTCGACCACTACGGCCGCTGCGGCGGTGGCCAGTCGACCGGCCACCAGCGTCTTGACGGACGCAACGAGCGCCGCCGTGGATAGAGCAAAATCGATGACCACCACCACCGCCTCCGCACAAGTCTCCAGATCGACGATCAATTATAGACAATCCGTCGCCACCGACCGAGACGCCGGTACGTCGTTCACCGCGTTCTACGACGAAATGTCCACAGACTTCGATTACAACTTCACCAGCTTCGCGGTACCGGTAACCGATCGTGGTCCGAGTGCCGTGGATCGGAGTTGTGCTAATGTTTTGTGCTTGAACGGCGGGCGGTGCGAAAAATCAAAAACGGGACACAAGGTGAGAATTTTTTTTAAATTGTTTACGCATCACTTGGAAATATCAGGAATAAATATTTATACAGTCCTGTGAGTTGTGACCAAATCACGCATACAGGTATGCAGAAAACAAAATTGTTTCTACTTATAAGTGCATGGGCAACTAGTTTTCTACGTGTTCCGTACATTAAATTTAACATGATTTTTTCTTACACGACGGCGAATATAACGATGGTGCGTAAAAAAAGTTCTCCGTAAGCTTATTTTGAATAAAACCAATAATTTCCAGTTTTCGCCCAAGGTATTGATAAATGTCACAAAATATGACATTATAGGTAGTGATTATACGACAAATGTCATATTAAATATTTTTTGAACCACCTGTCCATTCCGGCACTAACAACATAATACTTAAGCCACAGATCTTCATATTTATACTTAATGGTACTCGTTTTCAGTGCAAATGTACGTTTGGATGGAAAGGTGAAATATGCGGTGAGAAAATCGATATCAAGGTGTCTGCGTTCACAGGACAATCGTTCCTTAGCCATAGACTCTCGAACCGTTCTGGTGCCGAGATATCAATGGAAATACGAACCCTGGCGCCAAATGGAATTTTATTTTACGCACAAGTCACCACGCACATGTACATGTGTCTTTATCTACAGGTAAGTAATAACAGTTTACAGTTAATAAATAAAATACCATTTAAACATATTATTATGGAAAAGACCATACGAAATTAAAAAAACACAATTATTTTATCTCGTGGAGTTTGGTCGATGGCGGATGTGTCATAGCCTGCAAATAATTTTAACATTATACATATTAATATTGGTTACAGGATGGTTTGTTAAAGTTTCAATTCTCGTGTGGAGTGCAAACGATGTTGTTCAGCGAAACCAGATACAGGGTGAATACGGGCCATCGCCTGTTGCTGACAGCCGCGTAAGTTAAAAATGCCCTGACAAAATGAAACGCTAACTAATAAGACGAGTAGTATAGACCAATATTATATAGTATTAACTTTTGTCAATCGTTTCCATAGATTGGAGCACGCCATGTCACATTCCATGTCCGACCATTGCAAGGCGTCACTTAGGGTCAACGAAACGCTGGCCATGAGCGGAGAACAGGCGGCGGACACGGCGCCGGAGAAGGTGAAAAAAGTGGCTCTGTTATATTTGGGAGGTCTTCCGGCCGGTCAAAACGCCACGGCCGAACTTCCGGTCGCAGTAGGAATCACTGGTTGCATATCACGCCTACAAGTAAGCGCGGTCAAGACGATCTGCAATGTTTGGCTTTCAAAGGTCAATGTTATAAACAATATGATTTACCTACCTACAGATTGACGAAGTCGTTCACAATGTATACCAAAACGCCACCGACGGGTATGGCGTGATCGAATGCGCTTCGCTGACATGCTTGTCCAGCCCCTGTCAGAGCTATGCCACATGCGTAGAGTTCGGAGACTCGTGGAACTGCCTGTGTCCTTCAGGGTGCGCATATAATCTTATATAATAAAACGCTAATAACGCGTATAAGATCCGCGGGGAGCGCTCACGGCACTCCGCGTTTCTTCCATGACGACCAATCACAATACTTCCCGCGCGTTCGCTATAAATTCCGCTCGCTTATCTCCCATTTCCTTATCGACGAATATTTTCGAACATTATTATTATTATTATTAAAAAAAAACCCGTGTTTTTCAATTTTTTGACGTGATAATAACGTCTTATAAACCGATTACCCCGCGACCGTCGGGCGGAGTGGGGGGACCCATTAAACGAGTAATTATTTTTGACCAAGTATAACTTAGCCGGTATTCGACTTAGAGACCCCGTACCAATGGGCATCTCAATTTTTTAGGCCCCAGATGAATTTTCAACATTAGGGAACCAAAGCCCCCACCCCCCCCCCCACATTTTGAGTTGAGTATAACTCGGCCGGAATTCAAGTTAAAGACCTCGGACCAAGGGGGAACCCATTCTTTTTATGAATACTACCGTTTTCCGCTTTAGGGAACGGGGGCACCTCCTCCCCCCCTTTTTGGATTTTGCTTTTTTGATGGATTTTGGTCCGGGAGAGTACTAACACCCACCTCGCCAAGGGGAAACTCGGGGTTTTGAGTTTTTGATAGGATTTATTGGGATTTTCTTAAATATTGTTTTTATTGATAAGGAAAGTGATAAGAATGTTATTTTATCGCCGCGAGCACGGCGACGCGGCTTAAGAGTCATACATTTGCCTAGGAATTTCATCTGAGTAGGTGGCTAGGTTGGTTAGGCGTTTGAATAAGTGACTCGAGGGTCGTGGGTTCGAAACCGCCGTCCGGGATTTTCGATAATTTGCGCCATCCGTGATAATTTGAATGTTTTTTTTTCGAGTTTTTTTTTTCGTCACATTTTTTTTTTTTTGGCAGAAAAATATTAATATATATTAAAGTAGATATTTTAAATTGTAACTAAATTGTATAATGATACTGTACTATTTTATAAATAATAATAATAATACTTGATTTTACCGTGACCAACGCACCTATATGTTTCTTATATAAATATAATATAATATAACTAACCTACATGTAGTACCTACTTGATATATTACAGTTTTTAGGTTAAATACTGTTTAATACGGTATTAATAAACTAATAGATCTAATAGAACTGATTAAACTCTGGCAGTTAAATAGTACGACTATATGACTGCTCTTTTTGCCGTTTTTTTTTGAAAATTATAGTTTTAGCCCCTTTCGGTCATATCACACTCCCCGTCGACTACTTATTCGCGTTCCCTGCTATATTTATAGCCACAGACGAGTCCCGGGGTGGAGTAGTGTGTCGGAAACGAGAGTAGGTACCGTGTAGGTATCGCTATATACAGGCATATATACGCATGTATATACATGCGCCTCGAGATTCGATTTTTTTCGCAAATCTCGCGTTTTGAACGTCCGAAGGTGGCGGACACGGTTTTTTTTTCGTCACATTTATCATTTTTAACGAAAGTGTTAATTTTTTTTTTTAAATTTGCATTATATTATTATATATATTATTATTATTCGTTTGACGATATTTATTGGGCAAAAAAATAATTAAAATTAACATTTAATTAATACTTGATTTTACCGACGCACCTACATGTTTCTTTTATTAACACATTATAATAACGTATAACTAACCTACGTGTAGTACCTACTTGATATATTACAGTTTTTACGTGATTCCGATTTGGTTAAATACTGCTACAGATTATAAATACTATATTAAAAAATAGTACGACTATATTTGCCGTTTTTTTCGAAAATTCGAGTCCCGGGGTGGAGTAGTGTGTCAGAAACGAGAGTAGGTACCGTGTAGGTATCGCTATATACAGGCATATATACATGCGCCTCGAGGTTCGATTTTTTTCGCAAATCTCGCGTCTTGAACGTCCGAAGATGGCGGACATGGTGGTCCGCTCAAACGCCCTTAAGAGTCATAGATTTGGCTCCTAATTTCATCTCGGTAGGTGGCTAGGTAGGTTAGGCGTTAAAACGGGTGATTCGACGGTCGTGGTTTCGAACGCCGGCGGGGCCGTGTTAAATCGAATTTCTTTTTTTTGCGTTTTTTTTTTCGTCACATTTATCATTTTTAACGAAAGTGTTAATTTTTTTTTTAATTTGCATTATTATATTATATATATTATTATTATTCGTTTGACGATATTTATTGGGCAAAAAAATTATTATAATTAACATTTACCGACGCACCTACATGTTTCTTTTAATAATACATTATAATATAACTAACCTACGTGTAGTACCTACTTGATATATTACAGTTTTTACGTGATTCCGATTTGGTTAAATACTGCTACAGATTATAAATACTATATTAAAAAATAGGACGACTGTAATATGACTGCTTCATTTGCCGTTTTTTTCGAAAATTCGAGTCCCGGGGTGGAGTAGTGTGTCGGAAACGAGAGTATGTGTAGTGTATTCATTTATAGATACCTACGTTCAATATTATAGTAGTACATTTCAATAAAATTTGTTATTCACCAATATAATTATCTATTTGTTAATTTGACTTAATTCTCATAATTAAATAAATATACATGGAAGGTATATTTTAGAAAATATCCAATCAGAAAATTAGATTTTGTCGACTTATTTGTTATAACCGCGAAAACATAACAATGATTACATTGATTACAGTGAAGCCTAACATAAAACACCTGATAACTGTTCTCTATAATTATCAACAAATACAATTTTATTACCTCCTGTATACTTTTTCATATTTGAACGGCCGTTTCGAGCACTTTTCGCTGTAGGCGGATTGTCCGTTCGGGAATCGGATTTCACCCGAGATGACTGATAGCTAGACACTCAAACTCAGAATCCGAATTTCCGATTTCAACACACATACGAGAACCGGACACACACGCCCGGTGCATGGTCTGCGATCCGACGTAGTCGGATTGCCTACCTGACTAGCTACTTGCATACGAGCGACTTACACCCCCACTGCATCTGACACTCGGTAATCGACTTTCACCCGAGATGACTGATAGCTAGATACTCAAACTCAGAATCCGAATTTCCGATTTCAACACACATACGAGAACCGGACATACACGCCCGGTGCATGGTCTGCGATCCGACGTAGTCGGATTGCCTACCTGACTAGCTACTTGCATACGAGCGACTTACACCCCCAGTGTCCCCCACTGCATCCGACACTCGGGAATAGACTTTTTCCCGAGATGACTGATAGCTAGACACTCAAACCCAGAATCCGAATTTCCGATTTCAACACACACACTCAAGAACCGGCATACACGAATGGGGCATGGTCTGCGATCCGACGTAGTCGGATTGCCTACCTGGCTGGCTGTGTCTTACGATCGACTTGAATCGCGTGACTTACGACTAGACACTCTTCCGAGTTCAAAAATTACCGCTTAAAAAGTGCTGCCAACACGACAAAACATAATACCCGACGACCCCCCTTCCCCCCGCAGGCTGGATCAAAAAACCCAGCATAGCCGACAAAGATGCACCACCGCCCACACAGTCTTTCCGCCGTAGGCGGGATGACAAACACCGGAATCTAGTATACGTATATAACCAGTGTGATGTCGACCAACTATTGTCGAAAACTACTTAAAATAGTATACCTACAACCTATCTATCCAACAATAGTTTATGTATATTTACCTGATGTTGCTATAAATTTGGAACTCCAAACTGTTAATTTAAACTTTAAAGGATTGCCTTTAGTAATTCAATCACATCTTAAAACAATATACTTATTAGTTATATTGTATAGCCATACAAAACGTCTACGATTAATAGTTTATAAGGTAAATGTTTGTATATTATCGATACGACGATACGCCACATCAAAATATGGTATAGTGGTTATATTTAGTTATAAAAATATAATATTGTAACGCTGTTTTCATATTGTGGCATTTTAACTATATCGTCGCCACTATAGTTATCATTTTAACTTGGCTGTAATATTTGTGGGGGTAAAAATCAATCACAATCTAATGAGCCATTTAAAATGATAAATTTTTTCTGCGGGGGGGAGGGTAACTGCTACTCTATATACCGCCTATAGACTAAGTACAGGTTCCTACTTAACACACGATACCTACCTATACCAGGCAGTCGATTAATAATAATTAGTTAAATATCCACTGGTTTGAAGGTTTGTTGGGAAGAATTGCGAGCGGTCAGTGTGCGAAAACAACCCATGCAAATTTGGCGCCACGTGTGTAATTTACCCCGGAAGTGGATTCATTTGTTTGTGCCCGCTAGGAAAACATGGAATGTATTGTGAGCATGGTAAGTAATCGTAGCGTATACGCTTTTTCATTGACCATTATATTAAATATACTTTTACAATTTATACATTTGTGTATATCTATCGTTCATTAATATCAAAAAAACACATTTTATTAAAAAAGTTCTCAGTTTTTAATCACCGACTGTCGAACATAATATCTAATGATAATCCTAAACCTCTATGTTCGTATATTATAGATCTCGAGATTGGAGAACCATTTTTCCCAGGTAGCGTCAGTGGGCTCTCGTCGTTTGCCGCATACTCCATACCGGCCGAAATCCATCAAAGTTTCGAGCTATCGATGCATTTTGTGCCAAATTTTATGGACCAAATCGCTCTGATGATGTACATAGGTCATGACTCGTCCACCGATCACGTAGCTCTGAGTTTTATCAAGGGATACATTGTGCTGACGTGGAATCTCGGGGCCGGTGCCAGAAGGATTTTCACACCAAAACCTATAAACTTTCAGCCAAAAAGGGCGCACATCGTGAAATTGGGCCGAGACGGAAAAACCGCATGGCTCATGGTGGACAACTTCCCGAACGTTACCGGTCAATCAGTCGGCCGCCTCTCTCAACTTAACACCAAACCCGTCCTATATCTAGGTAACCTGATCACTGCACATTACCTATACGTAATGCATGTATATTGTCTACCAATATACTTATTCTATCATTTACTCGATGCCAAAAAATTTTCAACATTTTGAAAATGTATAAGTTTATCAAAAAAAAAAAAATGTATAGGCATTTGAAGTTAAAATTTTAAGAAAATTCGTCAAAAATTACGAGAATTCGCAAATTATTTTGTAGTTAAAAATGTATAAAATGTTCAATTTTTTTATCGAAGGCTTAAAAATTATCAATAATCTTAAGTAAGAGTAATAGGTAATACTTATAACACTATTACTACTAGCTAGTTGAAGCTACAAATATACATGTTCAGGAAAAGTATGGACAGTAATAATTCTAGGATTTGATTTGCCTTGTACATTATTATGTTATTATTACACATTTACACAAGAAAGCAACAAAACGTATAATAACACAATTATTAAAATTTCAAAAAACCAATGTTTAATAAAACGTTATACTGACTTCAAGTAATCACGGCAGCTCTAGTACCTATCTAAATATCTAAATCGCGGAAAAAAGCCCAAAAAATAAACACACTAAGGATAAAAAGCCTAGAAATATAAATCTGAACACAATATTATGTATACGTCGTCATGAAATGTGGACATCAAGTGCTATAATTTATAAGTTATAAGTAAAAAAAATCGGGTAAGTGGATGTCGCTCTACTGTAGGTTACAAGTGGCTTATTGTATAATGGATTGTATTAAATTAAAAACTTAAACTTGAATTCAATGATATAATATCATTGTATAAGAAAAACGATTCTGAGCGGAGACGGTTTGTCGGTCTGGATATTTTATATTGTTATTATTTATTATAATATCATAAGTTGAATTAATATTATAATATTTATATTTTTTATTCGTTTCAATAGTGATAAACAAAGTGTTAGAAATTAAAATCCCACTTTTAGTGGTTTTTTTCGGTGGCATTAAATAACTATTATTATTGATAAAATCGAAAAATGACCTCTTTAAAGTACCACATTGATCCAATTTGCTAAAAGATAAGGTACTATATGTTGAAATCGAAGCACTCCTTCTGGTAGACATTTGGTATACAGGATAAAAAAAAAACACCATTGTAAAACCACAAGCTTTCTCTCTCCAATCAGAATCTAAAATATCAATCTTAGGTATATAGATACTACTATAAGTTATAACTCAAAAAACATAAGTCTTAGGTATATACATACTAAAATGGATACAAAAATTACACAACTATATAAATAATAATATAATAAGTTAATATAAAACAGCTGGTAGTATATAACATATATTTTATAGATAACATACAATATTTTATTATGTATATACCTTAGACTTATGTTTTTTAACTTATAACTTATAACACAATATATCATGATGTGTACATAATATTGTGTTCATATTTATATTTTTATTTTATTTACAATCTATATTTTATACAATTTACAATTAATTATTATTTTCATTATAATATATTATTATATTTTTTCATAGTTACATGATAATTACTAATTTGTAATTAGGAGTAAAGTATACATGTGTTCACATTTATATTTATGTGTTTTTTTTCCTTGGTGTATTTATTTTTTTGGGCTTTTTTTTCGCCCACCAAATATTTAATTATATAAGGCCGTGTCTTATGTCATCTAATATGCTGGTTCTAAGACTGCATCCTGATTTTTACATTGTATTTTATATATATTATTTTTTTATCATCAATAATAATTTTAGAATAATATAAAAATGCATAGTTTTTTTTAAGCATACTGAGATGTTTAATATATTTGTGCAGAAGTGCAAAATTATTTCACAGGCAAACAAGCGTTTCTACCGTAGTAACACTTAGCAAAGATAGAGAGTGGATTTTCTTTACTTCCTAACCAATTTTTACTATTTTTTATAATTCTACTATAAATAAAATAATATTTGCTATTTTTTTAAATATCTAATCTCACTATTGACTCATATGTTGTGACAAAAATATGTTTATTGTATCCACTTGACATCCTAGGCGGCCACGAGTCTCCTGGAATGGCTGACTTGCCACACGACTTGCCTCTACACACTGGATTCGTTGGCTGCATGAGCGAGGTAAAGCTGAAGGCTGGCCACGTGACTGTTCCATTGAGCCTGTCGCGAGCATATTCCACAGTAAACACCGGCAGGTCCGTGTCCCAGTGTTCGACTAACGAGTGTTATCGAAACAACATATGTCAACACAATGGTGCGTGCATTCAGCATGGTTCTTCGTTGGCGTGAGTATATCCATATCTACATACATTTCATTCATTTTACACTGATATCCTTCCCATACACGGCCAAACTATGGTAAAAATATTTACAGGAAAATAATAGGTATAGTTGTCAAAATATTTTTAAAAGTTGCGTAAATAATATAATTAGCAAATATTTTAGTTATCTCCTTTGGCCAAAAAGTATATATTTCATAAAAAACATTTACAAAACATTTTAATCATTTCTTTTCAAAAAACATTTTTACGGAAACTTTATAAACGTATTAAGTCAACAGTTTTATGCAATTATATAGTACTTACAATATTTTGTTATAATAAGAACCAAAGATCGATTAACACCTGTCCATAAAAGATTATAATATCTATTATGATGTTGTATAAAGCAGGTACAAGTTTGAGAAAAAATTAAAAGTGTAAGTTACAAACGTCCAGTGATAAATATACTTATAATTTTTTTTTGAATAATAACTCATTTAATATTCTAACATTTTTTTTTGAAATTACCGCTTGGTGCCTAAGTCTCATAATATTGAGATTGTGTAACTTTAATTTTTTTAAGCTTTCATTGTTCTTATAGGAAATCATTATTTTGTTATATATATTTTTAAAAGTGTGTGCTGCAGTAATTTAAATAGTTGAGTATTTCGTGCACTCGTAAATACTCAATAACGTGCAACATTAATATTAATTTTAGACTCTGAGCTGAGCGATGAATGTATTAATTTTACAAGGATGTGTGTTTTTTTTTTAAATTTTTTTTTTTTATGTGTCTGTCATCACGGTTCAGGGCAGTATAACTGCTTAGATTTTCTTCAACAGTATCTTGTCCGATGGGAAAGTGAATCTAGTTAATACATTCAAGAGGTAAAATTTTTATACTTTTAATATTTTTCAAAAGCGCCGGAAAAACAACATAAAAATTTAAAAAAAAATGGAATTTTTTAGCAAAATCGGTTTTTGACAAAATCGATTTTGGTTTTTGGAAATGTTGGGTAGTAACGTAACGAAAGTAACGCGTTACTGTAACGGCGTTACTTTGCTTGTAATGTGTTACGTAATTTCATTAGAATTATATCCAAGTAACGAAAATGAAATATAATTTACTTTTCAAAAGTAATTTTTATAGAAAAACGCGTTACAGTTTCGAATTATTAAGTACCTACCTATTGTGAATTGTAAAAAAAATATATGTACCTATATTATCAGAGTCGGAGTAGCCCGGACCGCTAGTCCGCAATTGCGGACGGGGCAATGGCTTAATATTGTGGTAATTGGGGGCCCCTGATTTTGTACCTATTAATATTATTATTATTCGTTTAGAGTAAATAGAAATACGAAATAAACATTTTTTTTTTTCAAATCCGGAAACGTATTTTTGTTTACAATCTTGAGACGTTCTCAAAAATATTAAAATAATTAAATATGAAACGATAAAAAGGTGGGCAAGTGGGTGTCGCTCTGCTGTACAGTATGTTTTAAGTGGGTCATTGTATAATGGATAGTATTAAAATTGAATTCAAAGATATAATATCATTGTATAAGAAAAACGATTCTGAGCGGAGACGGCATGTCCTTCTAGGTATAAGACATACTATATACTTATCTATGGTATTAAGAAAAAATTGACCTAAATGAATTCCAAATTAATCATATCACAATATCCATTAGGTACTTATAACGCGTTAAAAACCAACAACGAACCCTGATACTATCATAGATATATAGTAGTATACTTTAGAAGTTTCAAGTACCCACGAATAATTATTATACAATCACAACAAAATAACTAAAATAGTTATTCTAGGTTTTTTATTATGTAATTTCGTCCAAATTTGAATTTAAAATGTCTGTAAAAAAAAACTGTGTTCATATATTTTTAGATTTTTTTGTTACAGTATGAACTATTTATAAGAATCTTTGTTTTAAATTTTCAATCCTTAGCTATAAAAACTGAACATTTTATAATTTATTAATTACAATGATTGATAATTTTTGATTAATTTTGATAAATTTTGTCAAAATTCTATCTTTAAATGCTTATAAAAAAAAATTGTGTCTATTTATTTTTAATATTTTTCAACTGATATTGTAACTATATATCAGGAGCCTTGTATTAAATTTTTACACTTTTTGGCCCAACAGATAAAACTAAATTGATATTTATGGAAAAAAAACTAAAAAAATTTGAAAGCTGTAAATGTCCGTAAACAGCTCAAAAAGAGTCAAAATTGTATGGTGTATAGGAAATGCTAAAATAAACATTCAGTGAAATTTTCATGTATCCACAGTTATTCGTTTTTGAATTACAAAAAAATAGCAAATCGCTACATGAGAAATCGAGTGAATATCCAATTTCAAACGCTCATAAAAATTTAATTTGACTTTCTTATACACAATTTTAGATTCTGAGTGAAACGACTAATGTATTGATTTTACAATGATATGTGTTTTTTTTTTTTTTTTGTGTCTGTCATCACGTTTTAGGACAGTAAAAGTGCTTGGATTTTCTTCAACAGCATCTTTTCTGATAGGAAAGTGAATCTAGTTGGTACTTTGAGGGGGTCAAAAGTAAAAATTTCACAGTAGCTTTCACAAAACCCGGGGAAAACAACATAAAAATTAAGGAAAAACGGGAATTTTTACTCAAAATCGGCTTTCCAAAAAATCAATTTTGGTTTTTGGTTTAACTCTAAAATAAATGAACGTATATACATGAAATGTTGACTGAATGTTTATATTAGCATTTTCTATACACAATAACATTTTCAAAATGTTTTGATTTTTTTTTATCTGTTTAGGGACATTTTCATTTTCATTTTTTTTTTATTTTTTTTTATAAAAATATCAATAAAATTTTATTTGTTGGTTTCGAAAGCTTGAAAATTTAATAGAGGGCTTTTAAAGCATTTAAAGATCGAATTTTGACAAAATTTATCAAAATTAATCGAAAATTATCAATCATTGTAATTAATAAATTATAAAATGTTCAGTTTTTATAGCTAAGGATTGCAAATTTAAAACAAAGGTTCTCATAAATAGTTCATACTGTAACCAATAAATCTAAAAAATATATGAACACAGTTATTTTTTACCTAGACGTCATGATCTTTAAAACTTGACCATCTCAAATCAAACATATTTTGAACTAGCTCAACCGTAATATAACTACAGTGTGAGGGTTCCCAATGACAAAACCGTATTCTAATATTGGTTTAACAAGTAAACAGTAAAGGGCCTTCAAGAGAGATACTGATTTAAATTCAGCAGACACACACTTAATCTAACTTATATGATCGAGAGCTTTGCAGCAGGCTTGCTCAACATGCAAGTTTGGACTAAGTCAAGACAAGACCATAGATCAATTACAGAATTCTAAAGTAACTGTTAAATTGATTCATTGATTCCATAATTAAACACTATAAAGTTATAGGTTAATTTATTATTTATTCTTTTATATCAAGATGTAGTAAATCACAGTTATTAATAGGTACTTATCTTCTATACCAAACAGTATCTATACGCAATATTAAAATGCAGAATAACACTCAAGATTTATTTTTAAAAAGGTAGAAAGTAGGTAGCTACTCTGGCTAGGCCTGTACAGTAGAAGCCGAATGTATCTCGTCATTGAGTAGGTCACTGTAACGGGTGTGTTAATTCTGAATTCAATGATGAATCATCATTCCATACAAAATTCGATTCTAAGTGAAGACTGTTGTTGTCAGGCGTCAGCTTATTATCATATAAATATATTGCTATTTGCTATCAACTATTATAGGTAGTAATTTATTTTACTATTAATAACACAAAGTTTATGGTAGGTACCTAATGCATATCTAATATAATAAATTGCATACACATTTTTTTTTTAAATTTGTTAGTTCCAATATGAACTATTTATGAAGATTATGAGGAACCTTTTAAAGCCTTACCTATACTAATTGAATAGTATTTATACATTTGTGAGTAATCTACAAAATAGTTCGCAAGCAAATGTTTATGATTTTTTAAAATGTCTAACGTAAACCCTTACATAATAAATCGTGCTTACGAGGTATTTTAATATTACTAAATGGCTACAGCAAAAATTATGAGGAACATTGCATTAAGTCTTCAAACTTTTTGACAAACCAAGCATTTTTTTATCGATGATTGCAGAAAAAAAAATTAAAAAATAGAAAATGTAAATATCATCTATAAATAGCTTAAAAAGAGTCAAAATATTTTGAAAACTGTACAATATATAGAAAATTCCTACCCACGTGTGTGTGGATTATAGAAACGCATTCAATAATATTGTTACGATCAACTGTACACGCCAGTCACGGACGACACAAAAATCTATCTAGATTCTACGACTTTAAAACCGCTAATTTATTTGAAGGCATATTACATACAAAGATACATAAAAATACCTATTTATTTATTTGACGAATATTTAATTTTAAATGGAAAAATAAACTATAAAGTTCCATTTATTATATATATTTTAGACTCTGATGTCTGACTTAAGCGATGAATGTGTTTTAATAAGTATATGTATAAATTTAAAATAAATTAATTTTTCTGTATTTACCGTTAAATAATTACAAAACTGTGTGGGCTCCTTGGCTGCAGCCTAACTTAGCGCCCCTCTAATTCCAGCCCTGATTACAATAGTCGGTCAAATAGAGTAGAATAAGCTCAAAACAAAGGTCTAATCGCACTAAAAGCGTCGTGGTGGTTCTACAGTGTACGGCCAAGGTGGGTAGTTCGTACCAAATTTTTTGATCTCCACCAGTTAAAAAGTTCAATGTCGTGTCGTTACTCGTTTGACAAATAAAGTAAAGGATGAAAATATTTCACTAGTTTTTTTATCATTTATTTCACGCCTTGTATAATAATTTCGTTTTTCAAACTTATCACTCGTTTACCACTAATACACACTGACTTTTTTTTTCATATATAGGGTGATTATTTTATCACGAAACACTCATTATTTCAAAATGTATTAATGTTTTTTTACATAGTTTCAAGTTGTTAAAAAACAAATGTAGTATTAAAAAAAATTAACTTATACTTATACTTTCTAAGTATTTTGATTCATAAAAATCGAACTTAGGGCGAGTAGTTTATGAGTTATAAGTATTTAAAGTTTAGATTGGAGGAGTGGAGTGGTACTGCCTTACTGGGTTGCCCCGCAAAATGTTTTTCCACTACTCTGCTTGTCAAAACTTTATAAATACTTATAACTCACAAAAAACTCGTCCTAAATTCGATTTTTATGTATCAAAATACTTAGAAAAATATTCCTTTTTGGAATATGAAATTAAAACTCTATGATGTCATTCAAAAAAGTGAGAAACTTAAAAAAATATTTAAAAATATGATTTTTTAATAAAAACGTTATTTTTTTAACAACTTGAAAGTATGCAAAAAAATACTTTTAAAAACATTAATTTTTTTGAAATAATGTTTGTTTCATGATAAAAGAACCACCTTGGCACCTTGTATTTTGTTGTTCTTATTGTATATTTAGAGATATTTGAGTTAATATTATAGAACATATATTTATAAAATTTTAAGTGCTCTCAACCCGGGCTATGACTAATAAACATTGGATTTTTTTTCTTAAATTACATAAGTATAGTTTAATAACACAATATGTATATTGAACACAATATTGTAAACTTATAATACCTACCTATATGATATCATATTCGACATAAAATACATAATTTTATTTTAAAGAATAAAAAATAAAGAAAACCTTTGTTTGTGTAGTATTAATATTTGTATTATAAATTTGCAAGGCAAAAAAAGTTGGAGATTAAGGATTTTTGGATGAGCCAAAGTGGCGTTGTGCCTTTAGCTTTCTTATAAAATATATATATTTATGCCCGTACGACGTTTGATCCCGGGAACCACCCTTTGAATCACAGCCTACTCCATGTACCTACGTCTACGACCACTTCAGCTAACTATCGAGACTTATTACCTATATTCGATTACATTCTTGTAGGTGTGTGTGCGACGATGGGTGGTACGGTCCGGTGTGCTCTCACCGGTACAACGCTTGTGACGCAAACCGGCACAACTGCTCGGACGGGTCGACGTGCGTGCCGGTGGGTGCGGGATACGAGTGCGACTGTCCGGCGGGCCGGGCTGGCAAACACTGTGGCCGGGAAGAGAGGCTGTCCGACGTCCGGTTCCTTGGCAAGCGGTCATTCCTGTCCGTGTCCGCGGCTGCGGATCTCAACATGCAGCAGTTCAGCGTCGAGCTCGAGATCAAACCGTCCGGCGAACACGGCATCGTGTTCTTCGTCAGACACGACGCGGCACGTAAGAAGTTCATGTGCCTGTCGTTGTACGGCGGCGTGCTGGAATTGAGGATCTCCGTCCGAGGTAACGATCCACACAATAATATTGTTATAGGTGCTATGTACCCCAACCGGGCATGGCAAAAACCTACGAGTGCAGCCCAAATAGGCGTATGAAATAGGCTTTCGGGCAATCAGGCTTACTATTGGACATGGTGCCATACGAAAAAAAAAAGCTTCTATATTATGCATATATTATCACAGGTACTATTCGTCTCGTTGTGAGTGGGTAGGAGGGTGGTAATGTGGTATAACAAGAATGAATATATTATAATATAGCGGTCAAGACTAAAATTCAAGTGAAGATATACAAATTAACAGCGATTATAAAATAGTGTTTATATTTTGACTATCATTATTTCCAGTATTTCCTAATAAAAATCTTCATGACGATAGTGATACAATGTAAATATTAGGTACACTAGTAAAAAGGTGCTCTGCTGTACAGTAGGTTACAGGTGGCTTACTGTATAAGTTTAATGGATAGTGTTAAATTTGAAGTCAATGATATAATATCATTGTATAAGAAAAATGATTCTGAGTGGAGACGGTATGTCAGTCTAGGTAAAAGACATATATTATATACTTATCTATGGTATTAAAAAAAATTGATCTATAATAAATTCCAAATTAATCATATCACAATATTCATTACTCATTAAGTACTTATAATGCGTTATAACTTATAAGTCAACAAAAAACCCAGCTGATACTATCATAGATATATAATAGTGTACTTTAGAAGTTTCAAGTAGGTACCCACGGATAATATTATACAATCACAACAAAATAACTAAAATAGTTATTCTAGGTTTTTTATGTAATTTTGTCCAAATTTGAACTTAAAATGACTTTAAAAATAAACTGCTCTAATGTATTTTTAAAATTTTTTTTTTCCTTAATTTTTATTTTGTTTTTCACGCCGCTTTTGAAAACTGCTGGGAAAACTACTACTATTTTTACTTTTGACCCCTCAAAGTACAAACTAGATTGATTCACATTCCTATCAGAAAAACCACTGTTGAAGAAAACCCAAGCACTTTTACTGTCCTTTTACTGTCCTGTCTGTCATCAGAGATGACAGACACAAAAAAAAATTAAAAAATTAAAAAAACAACATATATCATTGTAAAATCAATACATTCATCGTTCCACTCAGAATCTAAAAATTGGACCAGACCAATTTTTTGTAAAACAATGAACAGACCGATCGGAACTATTTTTACTTAAAATAGTTATTTATACATATTACTTGGACACATAGACCTATTATAGGTATGATTGGAAATATTTTATAATAATATTTTACATATTAAGATATTACTTTGAAGATAAGATTCTATAGATATACCTAAATAATTAAAAGGAATTGATTCTACCAAATACTTGAAATACCTACTATTTATATTATTTGACTTTACATAACGCCACAACAAGATTTTATATAATTATATTTATCCACCATTTCAATTGTTGTTATAAAAGTTCGGCTCACAGCTGCTGTAGTTTGAAGACTGAGAGTAGTTTTTCTTGGTAAAATAGATACGGATAGAAATACTTAAAATAATAAAATGCGATTATTTATAATAATACCTAATAATAATAAATAATAATACAATGGTGTAATATACTTGGTATTTTGATTTCAAAATATAATATTGGTTGAGCTTGAAAATAATAAATATAAAAATTATGGACCGTTATGACATAACCGGGACCGAAGACCGGACCTTTGCCTGAACCAGTCTTATACGTGGACCGGACCAGACCGAAATCAAATTAAATAGTTTTATTTGAAACTGAACCAAACTATTCACTAAATATTTCTGATAGGACTAGATCGAGTTTTTTTTTAAATTTATTAAACCAGACTGAAGCGAACCGTTACTTAGTTATATATCATAAAGTTGAACCAAAACCAGACCGAGGTCCGTTCCGGTTCGGACTGGATAGATTTAGACCGGACCATGCAGAGCACTTCTGTACAGCAGAGCGACATCCACTTATCCGCTTTTTTTTCTTTTATAGTTATTTTATGTTCAAAATTTGGAGAAAATTAGATATTTAAAAGAAGAAGAACGATTATTTAGTTTTGTATTATATTTATAAAATATTATTTGTGGGTACCTTCAACTTCTAAAGTATATTATTATATACAATTAATATGATAATAGACAAATAATAATTCAACTTAAGCGACTATACCGTATTAATAATTACAATATAAACAAAATATAAAATATTTTAGGCTGACAAACCGTCTCCGATCGAAATCGTTTTTCGTATACAATAATATTATATCATTGAATTCAAATTTAACACCATCCATTACAGTCATCCATTTTCAACCTACTGTACAGCAGAGTTACACACACTTACCTGCTTTTTTAAATTTTAATCGTTACAAATTTTTAAATTATCAAGCACCTGCATTTAATTTTTATGAAATACCTTGATTACAAAATTTTCATTGTTGTTTGTGACAATGTGCTGGATTGGGCCAAAGACAAAAAATATTTATTTTTAAAAATGACCAAGAAAGAATCTAACTTTAAGATAGTAACATATTACATAATATTAATAATATTATACAATATACTATATTACTATATCCAATAGGATAATGTTCATATTATGTACTCTTATATATTTTATTTTTTTATGTCTGAACGTCTGAAGACATATTTACTAGTAGAAAGATTCGATTTTAAACTTCGAAGGTGATTTCAAGGGTAACTAATTGGATCTATTTGGTACATTTAAAAATGTTCGTACTTATTTTTATAATCAGGGCGGAATTCGTAAAAATCGCAAATTATTTTGTCAACATAATATTGTCTTCATTCTTTGCTCTAAATAGTTTTTCATCTTAATTCATGAACAGTTTAAGTTAAACAGTTAAATTCCAATTTAAATAAATTACCTAATACATCTATTACAGCATAATAAAATTATTTTATAATATTGTTATAAATTACTAATAACTAGAGATGATAAGCGATTACAAAATTGTATGAATTTGTTAGCTAGGTATCCAAGTTTTTTAATCATCTAGTCAAATAAAATTACGCACACATTAGTAGTAACTAGTAGGTACTTAGTAACATTGATTATATTATACTATAATCATAAGTCAATCGTAGTATCAATGGTAGTTATATTGCATTATATTTGCGTTTATTTATATGGCAAATTTATTAACTCAGTGATTTCCGTGGTTTTTGATATTGGTACCTATACAAATTAAATTATTCATTTTTTTATCGCATCTATGGTGATCTAATGAGAGTTAATTGGATGATATATTTGCTAAAAACGATGCACGAAAGTTTATTTGTACTCAATAAGAAATAGTAAGAAATTGCAGAAACTATAAAAAGGTGACGGATATTTTCTTTAATGTAACATAATGTAACAGGAACGTATGCTTTGATCGTGGTTGCCGTTGAGCGTGTTTTTGAGCTACTGCTGCAGCGCGTTGTCGCGATTAGATATTTAAAAAAAAAATTACTTCACAAACATACCTATCATATATTTTCAGTTATCACATTCCTGTAATTTCGATTATTGAATATGATTAATATAATAGTAATTAAAAAGTAATAATAATCATTTTCATTTTCATTTATTTTTCACATTTACTTATTGATATTTACTTTTATTTTGAATGGTTCCATTAAAATGTATTTGTAATACATAATATTTGTTGGAAAAGAAACATCGTTTCTACCGGGTGTCCCATGACAGCACTCATTTTTATTATTATTATTGTTCAGTTTGATAATAATATGAGACTGCTGCCGTCTTATCGATGTGGCGTCTTAAACGTATCCGTATTTTTAATTTCAAACGGACGTGTTCCAATGGTTAAGATTAGTACAAACAATCGATCGATTAATAAGAATAGAGACATAATATTATGTATAAATGTGTAATAACAGTGGTTAGACAAAATCAACAGTTGATAAGTATAAACCGTACATTATGGTATAATATTATAAATTATAATGCAAAGCATAGCGGAGTATATAGGTTTTCAAAAGCGTCGGGGGAAGTGAAGGAAAAACGTGCAGTTTCCCAAATGACTGGTTTAAAATGTTATTATGTATAGAAAATGCTAATATAAACAGTCAAAATTGCATGTATCTGCGGTCATTTGTTTTAGAGTTACACCAACAACCAAAATCGCATTTGCCAAAAATCGATTTTGCGTAAAAATTCCTGTTTTTCCTTTAATTTTCTTTTATTTTACACGACGATTTTGAAAATGTTTAGTTATTACCCCCCAAAGTACCAACTATATTCACTTTCCAATCAGAAAAGATACTGTTGAAGAAAATCAAAGCGAAATTATACTAATAGATGACGACAGACACAAAAAAAAATAAAAATAAATAATATAAACAAAAACACACATCATTGTAAAAATGTAAAATCAATAAATGCATCGATCTGCTCAGAATCTAAAAAACGTATTTAAAAACCATTGAAATGCTTCAAAATAAAAAAAATTTGAAAAAATAATTCAATAAGGAATATATTATAGTATATATAATAGTATTTGAATACTTTTACTCAAATACTTTACAACACTGATAGTAGTATAGGTATATAGGTACATACAGTTATACCGACATTATATAAAAATGCATATAGATACCCACACATTAATCATAACACAAAATCCCAAACACAACGACAATTATATGTATATATGTTACACACCCATATATAATATAGTTTTTTAACCTATATAAAAATGTATGTAGGTATGTAGCTATATATGTACCCAAATATATAATTATATATAATTAATATAGCATATTAGCATTAACGTTTAGCAATATACAATTGGTTATTAAACTATAAACGTTACTTATTAAATGTAGGGTATATTAATTAAAAATCCAGTATATTATCATAGCATAAAGCATTAATGGTCAGGTTAATACATTTTTTAGGTGTAAGTGTGTAACTCAAAAACTAATAACCGTAGGTATTTTAAATTTTCACCAAATGTAAAAAGGACCACTTTCCATATATGATAAAATATTTTGATTCTTTTTGAGTTATTTATTGCTATAAGAAATTTGTGTTTTTTATAGTTTTAATTAAAT